TAAGTTTTTACAATGAAGAGGGAAAAGCAAATAAAGTAAAGATAAAAAATATTTATTTAAAAATAAAGTTATTCAAAATAAAAATCCACTTGCAAAAATATAAAAATTACATACTCCTACTAAAATAGAAGAACGAATGGGCTCAAATAATTATAATAGCAGCAAATGAACTAAATGTTATTATTGAATAATATTCAATATTTAAAGAATTTGTATTATTGCGTAAATAATACCTTAGGTTTATTTAAAAAGGAAAAAATATTCATAAAATTATAAAATCAATTTAGTTTCAATTTCCGATAATATTTTTTTTTGACAATTTTGTTTTCAATTTAAAGTAAAGCCAAGTTTTAAAACTTTTCCTGTGACATAGAAAACCTTAACCACGTTTTGTCACGACGATAGCAAAACAGCTTCTTTCACATCCTTCTTAACTCACTGGAAGTACTACAGCTTTTTATAAATTAGGAAACAAATTTGTATTAATTTTTTTTCAGCATGTTTCTTAGTATTGTTGTCTCAGCTTCTAGGGTAGGAATATCAATAATCAAAACTCTTTTATAATTGCGTACAGATCTGATTTTACAAAACAGTCGAAATTATCAAATCTGATTCTTAAGTTGCTGATAATGTTGTTCTTAAATTGGTAATAAATATTGCTATGCCAATATTCGCGTAATTATCTTAGTTGAAAGCAGCTAATAAGCATTTTTTTGATTCAAACAATTAACACAACCACTGTGTAACGGAATAACAATCAAAATAAAATACAAATAACATTTGTAGAATTAAGACATTAATTAACATGGCACATATGACTGTATTGATTGTATTTATCAAAATATATCGTCAAGGTTGTTATATATATATATATGCATATCGGGTGTCTATTTAAAACCAAGCAATGCTCTATAAATCTGAACCTAAAATAGATAGGTATCAAAATGTTTTTAAAATCTTTTCTAGGATGTGTGGGGTGAATCAGTATTATCCCAAAATGACCTCAACTCACTTTCTTAAGTGTCAACATCCCCTTTGTGATACCTCATTGGAAAGCTCTTGAAAATTGTTATTTAACAGTACTAAACAAAATACTTTTTATAATTATAATAAAATAATAAGGTCGTACAAACTTAAATGATAAATTGAATTTAAAAGAATTCTAAAATAAGAAAAAATAATTCTAATTAAGAAAAAAGCAATATACAGAAATTGTTCAACAATAATCAAAACAATGTTCTGCTCTTTAAATTAAATTCAGAAAATTACTTCCATAAGTAAATGTCTTACAAAGCAATTGTAAAGTCTATTTATAAATAGTCTTTTATTATTTTAAAATGTTTGTCATGGAATAAATGGGCATTGTTAAACAATTTAAATTCTCAATGAAATGTGTATGGTTTTTAATGGATTTTTGGTATCAGGTTTATAAAAGTTTACAAAAAATGCTATTCATGCTGTTTTTAATATTTTATGTAAATAGTATTGTTTGTTTTCTGAAATGCTGTACACAACGGCTGAACGTGTTAAAATTATTTTATGTATGTTTTACAAAATCTTTGTGCTCTACAAACTGCGGTGACATTTAAAAATTTGTAAAAATATAAATATTTTGTTTAAAATATAAATAATGTGTTTAAAATATATATATTTTAACTTATTTTCTTAGATGTATATTAGTTTTACTAAAATTTATAATATTTTAACTAAACTGCGCACCACTCAATGTGTCGCGACCAAAAATTTCGTCCTTTTTCAAAACGACATAACTTTTTTGTTTCTTGAACGATTTTATTTTGGTTTGTGATGTCTGCTAGCCCCATTCTCTAGCAATTCATGCTATAGATATGAAGCTCACAGTTTTTCAAGTAAATTTACTACAGGGTGATATGTAAAACAGTGAAAAATTTCAATAACTTCATCCAAGCCCCGTTTGTAAAATAAATATTTTTTTCTCGTTTTTACTTTGAAATAATAAAGTATTATGTCTTACCTTGAAACCTTTTTCAAATTTTTCGAATTGGAATCTTAGCAACAAAAATATGATTTTTTTTTCAATAGAGCACATTTGATGCTTTTTTGTAGGCAATACACTCAGCCTTTTTAAGAACAAAAAGATAAGTAAAGATAAAAAATATTTATTTAAAAATAAAGTTATTCAAAATAAAAATCCACTTGTAAAAATATAAAAATTACATACTACTACTAAAATAGAAGAACGAATGGGCTCAAATAATTATAATAGCAGCAAATGAACTAAATGTTATTATTGAATAATATTCAATATTTAAAGAATTTGTATTATTGCGTAAATAATACCTTAGGTTTATTTAAAAAGGAAAAAATATTCATAAAATTATAAAATCAATTTAGTTTCAATTTCCGATATTATTTTTTTTTGACAATTTCGTTTTCAATTTAAAGTAAAGCCAAGTTTTAAAACTTTTCCTGTGACATAGAAAACCTTAACCACGTTTTGTCACGACGAGAGCAAAACAGCTTCTTTCACATCCTTCTTAACTCACTGGAAGTACTACAGCTTTTTATAAATTAGGAAACAAATTTGTATTAATTTTTTTTCAGCATGTTTCTTAGTATTGTTGTCTCAGCTTCTAGGGTAGGAATATCAATAATCAAAACTCTTTTATAATTGCGTACAGATCTGATTTTACAAAACAGTCGAAATTATCAAATCTGATTCTTAAGTTGCCTTAAATTGGTAATAAATATTGCTATGCCAATATTCGCGTAATTATCTTAGTTGAAAGCAGCTAATAAGCATTTTTTTGATTTAAACAATTAACACAACCACTGTGTAACGGAATAACAACCAAAATAAAATACAAATAGCATTTGTAGAATTAAGACATTAATTAACATGGCACATATGACTGTATTGATTGTATTTATCAAAATATATCGTCAAGGTTGTTATATAATATATATGCATATCGGGTGTCTATTTAAAACCAAGCAATGCTCTATAAATCTGAACCTAAAATAGATAGGTATCAAAATGTTTTTAAAATCTTTTCTAGGATGTGTGGGGTGAATCAGTATTATCCCAAAAATGACCTCAACTCACTTTCTTAAGTGTCAACATCCCCTTTGTGATACCTCATTGGAAAGCTCTTGAAAATTGTTATTTAACAGTACTAAACAAAATACTTTTTATAATTATAATAAAATAATAAGGTGGTACAAACTTAAATGATAAACTGAATTTAAAAGAATTCTAAAATAAGAAAAAATAATTCTAATTAAGAAAAAAGCAATATTCAGAAATTGTTCAACAATAATCAAAACAATGTTCTGCTCTTTAAATTAAATTCAGAAAATGACTTCCATAAGTAAATGTCTTACAAAGCAATTGTAAAGTCTATTTATAAATAGTCTTTTATTATTTTAAAATGTTTGTCATGGAATAAATGGGCATTGTTAAACAATTTAAATTCTCAATGAAATGTGTATGGTTTTCAGTGGATTTTTTGTATCAGGTTTATAAAAGTTTACAAAAAATGCTATTCATGCTGTTTTTAATATTTTATGTAAATAGTATTGTTTGTTTTCTGAAATGCTGTACACAACGGCTGAACGTGTTAAAATTATTTTATGTATGTTTTACAAAATCTTTGTGCTCTAAGAACTGCGGTGACATTTAATGAACTACACCCTGGAAAAAATGTGCCTCATAAATATTTTTAAGAGCTGGTTGCTAAATTTAAACAAATGGGATCTGACGTAATCGAAAAGAAACCAACCTAGAATAATTAATAAAGCGACCCATATTGATTAGTTTGGTGTAGATGCCACAATATCATTCCATTCGGTATCTAGATTAACAGGGCCTTGCCCTGAGTCTGTTAAAAAGGTGTGAAAACATCACAAATATGTAGTAGCTTCTAGACTTGGCTGGATCACAATTATCCAGGATAAAACTTAGCTCTATTTTATTGAAGATACACGACAAACATGTTATAAGGCAATTTAAGAATCGACTTTACTTTGCTTTTAAAAATAATGGAAATCATTTTGAGCATTTACCGTCGCTCCGGCCAAAATGTCAATTTTTTGTGTGTAAATCGAAATGTATCCCTTGAAAATAGACTAACCACCGTTAAAATCCGATATAGAAGCAGTTTTCCCAGTGAATGGGAAGAAAATGTTTTATGTTAAATCTAAATTACTGTCGGCGAAACTAAAAGGTTAGTATAATGTTTATATGAACTTTTCAAATATTGGCGTTGAGAAACTATTTAATACTTGTATTTTTGTATTGGAATAATATAATAATTTTTACATTTAGTATTATTTTACAAGAAGGGTACTTTATTTTAACGATTGTATGACATTTGACAACTGTCAATTAACTTCAGCACGTGACTAAAATGCCAAAGACACAACTTGTCAAGGTGTGTTAAAAAGGTTACTTAGTGTCATGGAAACTGTTCGATAATGAGCGTTTTAAAGGCGGGAGTAAAAAAAATATTTAAAAATTGCTTTTTAAAAAGTGTTTTACTCTATTCTTACAAAAAATTTATTCAAAAAATATTCAACTCGGGGCCCCTTCGGGCTGGGGCGCTTTTTTGAATATTGTTGTTAATTTGTCTCTGAACTATGTTTGGTGAACAAAATTTGTAGTTTTTTTTTAATAAATTTCTAATATGAGTATTTTTTTATTTTTGAGTATGTGAGTATCACATTTGCACTATAAAAAACATGTCTATACATACGGCAAATACTTTACTTAAGTCGGCATCTTCATACAAAATGTTATGACCAATATATTTATGTAGTTTCAACTTGATCCTTTATTTTAAATTCTTGGTACTCTTTTTCGTGTTCCCCTGTGTTATTTAATCGCTCGGCGTGTACACACACCAGTACAGATAGATAATCTGACCCTTGCTTGCTAAAGGAGAGAGACTGTGTCTGAGCGGCAAAGAGAAGCGAAGCCGAAGCCCCGCAATTTACCAGACTGGTCCGTCACACCGGTGAAGGCAAAAGCCTCGACAACGGTTCCAACAACGAGAGCCAGTTCTCACTTGGGCATGACGTAGTGCAGTTTGCATGCCTCTCTGCCTTTCGTTCTACACTGCAGTTGCTGCGTTATTCAACAACCCAAAACGTGGGAAACACTTGCTGGACCAAAACGGACTAAAAGTGAAAAGTTTCTTCAGTGAATTGTGATCGGATATTGCTACACCACAGACCGCAATACGAATTATAAGAAGAGGTAAGTTTGGTTTTGTTTTATAAAACAAATCATATTTCCGACAACTTAAACTACAAGCATCCTCATGCGCTTTATCAATAATAACTACTATCCCATGTATTATCATCATCAACAAGATAAGTGATACAATGTCATTTTAGGTGTATGAAGCATCGTCGAACTGGATCTCGCGGCGACCGAAAAGTGACAAGTGTAATATAACAAGTGCATACGTATAGTATATATAGTTCAGTGCCCCTGTGCCTCTGCCATGATAGCCGATCTGAAATAGGAGTCATGACGAGCAAAATTCACAACTCTAGAACAGGAAACGGGCACAGTCTGAGTGTTCTAGGTGAGTTTACAAACTGTCCGTAAAGAATCGTGACCAGCATCGCGGGTTTTTAAGAGAATCATTAATTCAGCATTCGATGACTCACACACAAGTTTAATTTCTTTTTTTGCGCTTGAAATTGCCTTTTAAATAGAACGTGGTCTGAATAATACAAATCTAAACTTCAAAATGAGATTTTTCGTTCGCGATGTGGGTCAATATTTGTTTGTTTACTGTCTAAATAAACTTCTCACTGAGTATCTTTATTCGTTTATTAACTTTCTCATTCCAAATTATGCTATACAGGGTACTACACAACCTAGAAATTTTAAGAAAATTAAAATTACCCTTTTATAAAAGTTTCGTATTATAGAATTGAGTAGTCTTATAAAACGTAATAAACCAAACATATCTAAATATAGATTTAGTTTTAAAAACAATGTGGTAACTAATAAATTGTTTACTTTATTTTTATTGTGCAATATGGATACAAAATATTCGATATAAAACTAATTCCTGATCAAAAAGTGTATCAAAAAAATAAAAAAAATGAGGTATATACCTATTGAGCATATCGGTATATATAAAAAAAAAATATCTTATATGAAAATAAAGACAAAAAAATGTTTGGACATAACTGATTTTATTTTTTTATGGTAATTTTTGGATTCAGTCACTGAGTCCACTGAATTTCAGTAAGCAAAATTTACCCTAAAAAGTTGTCTTTCCTGCAGAAAAATGGCTTTTAATTAGTGTATTTACGTAGTAGAAATCATTAATTTATAGTTTTATGCAAAAATTTAAAAGTTATATTTATAGATTATAAACAAAAATCTCTTAATTTATAAGTAGGAAACCATTATTTTCTGGTTCTTTTTTATTGGTGCATATGGGTAAACATGTTCTTGCCTTATAATATCTAATTAAAATTAAAATATTAAAACAATATCTGCACCCTAGAACCAAACTGTAATACATCAAACTTTTAAAATTGTTTAGGAGAGCTAAATTAAGAGAGTAAAAGCGTTCAGCTTTGGAACCAAAAGACATTTACCTACTACCTAATTTTTTAACACACATGAAGAAAGTATCATTTTATTTCTGGAAAGAAAAATGGTGCGGTTAATATTGTTACTTTTAGAAATAAAACATTTAATGGACTTAATACATATGGCTTTGATGATGGACTTTAAGTGACTTAATACCAAACTTGCTAAACAGGAGTTGACTTAATACTGTTTGGCTTAAATAAAACAAAAATTTGTTTAACTGAATACTTGACAACTGAAAATTTTATAACTCTAATTTATAAATAATATTAAGTCCCACAAACGATGGACAGTCCCATGTCGTCGAGCCAAACAGTATTATGGGACTTAATACCACATAAAACTGTACATTTCTTGGAACTAAAAAATAGCAATTGCTTATTGCACAATTTGGCTCTAGGCGAGGTGTGAACTTTTTTGAACATTTTTACTCTGTTATATCAAAAAATAAGTAAGCCAGGACTTCCGGTTTACCATTAGAAAGAGCGGACAATTGTGGGGGAAAAACATGTAAAATGTTACTTTTAAAAAAAGTGGACTTAATACAGTTTGGCTCTGGAGTACAAATATATTCACAGAATATATCTGTACTCAAAGCCAAACTTTTTTTAAATCACGTTTCATATTATTTGTCTACGTATTTCCGCTCTTTCCAATGATAAACAACATGATTAAGTCCGGACTTACTTAGTTTTTGATATATTACAAAAAGTATTCCAGAACTTAATCCTGTTTACCATTAAAAAGAGCAACAAAAACTTAATAAAAAAATATGCCATTTGATTTTAAAACAAAAATACTAATATGGATCTAAAAAATAACATTTTCAGTAAATGTAATAACCTTTACAAATGGACTAAATATCATTTTAATGGTTTAATTAATAACATAGACTGTTTGGTCTTGGGTGAGGTAAAGAACAATTATTTAATTTGACCAAATTATCTATTTCCACAAAATAAAAATTTAATCCTTTTAAAAAGGTGTCTATCGGACATTTTACAGATACAAAACGATCTAGTTGTATTTAAAGTATTCAAATGATAAAACTAAGTTAACTGTTAAAGAAACCGGTATAAATAAATCTAATTTGAAACAAAGCTTGTGTTTCGATATATCTCTTTTAAGTTAACATTTTTAACTAATGGTCTAACAAAACAGCGGATTATGAGGTATCTGAAATATAATACTAATTTTTTCTTTTTACCCTAAAAAATACCTTAGATAGGGTTTCGGTAATTTAAATTACGTTAAAAGGCTTCCTTCGGCAGTTGTTAACTCAAGCATTTATTGCAAGTAAACATTTTTATTTAAATTTCCTGATAAGATAAACAACTTTATAAAAAAGTGTTTGTTTTAACAGTTTCTTGTAGCAATATGATGCAATTAACACTTTGCCGCATCTGGTCCTGAAATAAAAGTCATAAAAATAAAAGCACAGATAAATACCCAGAACTAAAACCCTATTGTTAACAATTTTAGGCTGCCGGCTAATAAATTTAAAGCCTCCCTTCGTTGGGTGTCTTTTTGTTGTGGCGTTACAGGTATACACTTGCTAAAGGCATTTTACTGTTTAATATTTAAGTGAATCTCGAAGAAAGAATATTATCATTAAAAGAATAAATTCTTATTTCTTGTTCCCACGTTTAACCAACACATGTTGCTTGTGTTAGTTAGTAATCTAGTAAATGAATAATATTGAAATTTCACGATTGATTAACTGTGTGGAAGTAGAAGCTACTTTTAGAAAATATCCCGACAATTATTTTTAAACCAAGATAATTTTAGACCATTGTACCGACATTCCGTTGAACCATTAGTAGACACATCAATTCTTTTCTTAAGTTATTCCCAGTAGATATATATAGATAGTAGATATTAAAGTTATACATTCCGACGTCCAAAATGTCCGATTATAATTCGTTTTTAGGTTACAAAATTTATAATAATTTATTAGTTGGCCTCCAAGGTCTCCAGATCTGGAACAATTTGACTATTGTTTATTTTGTTAGCCAAAATTAAGGGTATAAAGCATTAGACGAACAGAAAATATTTAAAAATGTTAACCTAATAGCGCTATATCTTTAAGACCTGCGAAATACTTAGATAATTTTTCCTGTGAAAATCACCTTCACGCGTTTTATGGAGTAAAAACAATTTTATCTGTACTGAAATAAAAATCTAGGCGCCGTTGCATCATTAAGCAGACTACTACTATAAAAAAAGGAAAATTACATATCTGTAAGAAAGGTAATCTAAAGCAGTTGTGCCTTGAGCGTAACAAATTTAATGTTTCTTTGGCCTTGATAATAATTTTAGATGCACAATTTTCATACCATTATATGTTCGTATTGTGGAAAATTAAAATAACAAAATATCAATATCATTTTTTTATTTTACTATAATATCAACTTAGTTTTTATTTCAAATAGGTTAAATAAACTAACAGCAGAAAATAGGTGATAAATATTCTTTATAAAGAAAAGAGGCTGAAAATTAAATGTTTATTCTTAAATTGTATTGGTTTATATTCAAATAAAAGTACTTATATTATGTATCAAGTTTAATAAACGCCATTTTCGTAACGAATTTAAATTATGCACTAGCGAGCTTGCGAGAGAGTGTTTAATTAAATTAGTGCCTAGAAAAGTTTATAAACGAGTTGCATACTATACCTTTTCTACGACAAATACTTATTAATATTACTTTTAAAAAATGATTTAAAATATTAATTTTATTTGTATAAACATAAACGACATCTATTAAAAAATAGAGTAACTCGCTTATATATTTCTAACTTGTGAATGTGTATTACCGGCGCCTGGATCAATGTCAAATGTCAAATGTTTATGTGTAAATCGAAATTTATCCCTTGAAAATCAACTAACAAACGTTTAAATCTTATATAAAAGCAGTTTTTCACAGATAATATTTTATGGGCACTTCCATCCGAAATTTTTATTATCCATCCGAAATTTTAAATGCTTAATTAGTTAAATCTAGTTTACTGCCGGCGAAATCAAAAGATCAGTACAAACTTGCATATAAATTTTTCAAATATTTATTGAGCCTTGAGAAACTATTTAATACTCTTTTATTTTTGTACTAAGACAATAAAATAATCTCCTCATTATTATTTCACAAAAAGGGCACTTTATTTTAACGTATGATGAAGGGCGTGTCCCATTTTAAACGTAGGTAGGTTTTTTAGCCTTTTTAGGCCGAATTTTTCGTGTTGTCCCCGTGGCTTGAAAAACCCCTTTAAAATTATTTTAAACCTTACATTAAACATAAATATAATACTAAATTTGTCCAGTATGTCCGTCCTTACTTTTATTTAAAAAAAAACTATTAAATTTATAGTATAAATTGTATTTTTTTCAGAAATTTATTAACAATATTTTCTAAACAATAACATTAACAAAACATAACAATATATACAGTATAAATTATTATATATGGGCAATTTTTCAGCCTTTTTAGGCAGAATTTTTTGTGAACACAACATTGTCCCCGCGGCTTGAAAAACTCCTTTAAAATTATTTTAAACCTTTCATTAAATATAAATATAATACTAAATGTGTCCATTATGTCCGTTCTTTCTTTTATTAAAAAAAACTATTAAATTTATAGTATAAATTGTATTTTTTTTTATAAAGTTATTAACAATATTTTTTTTATAAAGTTATTAACAATATTTCCTAAACTGTATAAATTTACTATTTAAAAACAACAAAACTTTCAGTAGTAACATAAAAGTAAATTTTTTATACATTTTAAGATTTTCCAGCTATCAGCACACACGGGGAAAAGTGAATTTTTAAATCTAGTAATTATTGCTATAACTTTGAAAGAAGTTACTTAAAACCGCTTAAAACTTAACAACTGTTTACTTTATTTTGAAACCAAAATATATTTTGTAATATTATATATAATATATAGGGACTGTATGATAACATGTTACAATTAAGT